TTGAGGGTAGGAGCATTTCCTCAGATGATATGTGAGAATATTACATTGAACATTTAAGCCAGTAATCTTTTGGATCAAGGAGCCTACTTTTTTTTTGAGACGGATTCTTGCTCTTTGACCAGGCTGGAGTGGAGTGGCATGAGCTCAGCTCACTGCAACCTTCATCTCCCGGATTCAAGTGATTCCCCTGCCTCAAGCTCCAGAGTAGCTGGGACTACAGGTGCGCACCACCATGCCCAGCTAATTTTTTATATTTTAGTAGAGACAGGGTTTTACTATGGCCAGAATGGTCTCAATCTCCTGACCTCATGACCTGCCTGCCGCAGCCTCCCAAAGTACTGAGATTATAGGCATGAGCCACTGTGCCCAGCCAATGAGCCTACTTTTAAGCAAATTTTCCATCAGTGTTAACTGATCATCATTTCCTACCTTAAATATGACAGTTATGGGTATTATAATAAAACATCATTTAGTGTTAAGTATATTTTTACCTAGGAGAATTTTTCCTAAAGAATGAAGTTAACTTTTTAAATGATCTACAATAAACTGGAAGCATGGGATCTTACCAGTTCACTTTGAGATTAGTATTTTAGGTATCAGATGCTGATATATACCATCTTTTTCTTGAGATTGGCAAACTCTCAGACAGTTGAACAAATATTAACTTATATATCTAATTTATAGTAATGGAAAAGTTAACAAATCAGTTTAACCCTTGATGGGACTGGTAGAAACTTAGGCTAATTCGCTAACATTTTATCTAGCTAATTTGCACACCATTCCTCTATCCCTCTATACAACCCCTCCCCATATGCATAAAACTACCCCCTTGAAACTATAATAAACCCAAATCATGGGCTAATTCATAGGAGTGACATTAGTAATCCATTTGGAATCATACAGCTAATTAATCCTTTATAGCTTTGTAACTTCAAAATTCTGACTCATTAGTACTTTTCTTCCCCATTTTTGCATTATTCTTACGGCCTCTTCCTCACCCTCACTTTCCCACCATTGTCATAATATATTCTTATGGGTGATAGTCTCTTCCCTTACTGTTGTCCCAGAAGCTTTTATTCAGTCCACAAGCACTTACTGAGCACACTTTCCTCTTACCTATTTTAACCTTACTAGTAGCATGGCCCATTATACCTAGCAAAACCCATCTCCTGGCTTTCTCTGAAAATTAGCATTTTTCATACATCCCTACACTTTCCTCAAAACCTTAATAACATCACCTTTTCCCTGATTCTCACATACATTATCTACTTCCAACCTATTTTTTCAGCCTCACTCATACCACTCCCATATATATATGAAATGTATATATATGGGAGCCCCATTTTGTATATATATTCTTGCCATTTCCCAAATAGGGACACGTCCTGTACTTTCTTGCCTCCTGGCTCTGTTAAGTTGATTCTTCCTAGATTTTCCTCTTACCCCCTGAACCTTTCTTTTAATGCATGGATTTTGAATTCAGAGAGTCTATAAACTAAGAAAATAAATGCAAATTTTGTAGGCATTCTTACATACATTTTTTTCCAAGTAGAGAGTTCACAGTTTCCATTACATCCTCAAAAGGGTTGAATACTACTCAAAAGTTAAAGACTTTATTTTCTTCCACCTTCCTGAACTATACTTATATTTTTGTTACAAATAGTCTTGTTTGGTGCATTAGTCTGTTCTCATGCTGCTGATATAGACATATCCGAGACTGGGTAATTGATAAAGAAAAACAGGTTTAATGGATTCACAGTTCCAATGTCTGGGGAGACCTCACAATCATGGCAGAAGGCAAAAGGCACACCTTACATGGCAGCAGGCAACAGAGAATGAAAGCTAGGCAAAAGGGGAAACCCTTTATAAAGCCAGTAGATCTCATGAGACTTACTCACTACCATGAGAACAGTATAGGAGAAACCACCCCCGTGATTTAATTACCCCCCACTGTGGGTCCCTCCCACATGATCTTTTGCACATGACCTTATATATGACAGGCACACAGTTGCTATGTATTTTTTATAAAAAACAACAACCCATCCTTTAAAAAATATAATCAGGGCTATGATCCTTTCATGTGATTAGAATTCCGGTCAATGTATTTTAAAATGATTATAATAAATACATGTTAACTTTTTGTATGCTTCTTGGAAGTTCTTCTCAGTGAGGTGGCAACTAAATGTCCCAGTTATCCCACTGGACTAATTAATAAGCCTCAAAAAATTCAGCCCATGGGTTTCCAAGTAGGCTCCAACATGCATGCTGAGGCTGGTGTCTTCCTTGTAGAAGAACTCAGTCTTTATTTCTTAGTTGTCCTATCATTCTGTGTTTTTTCCTTTGTGTTTCCTGGGCTCCACAAATTCAGCACAGGCCTAAGTCATTTAAGCAGAAGATTCCTAAAGCCAAAAGAAATAGCCCTTTTGTTACCTGTATTACAAAGTAACAACACAAAGAAGCAGCAAAATTCTGAAGGTCCAAGGCATTCTAGAATGTCAGTATATCTATTCCTGGGGAATTCAGTTTCACCTACATATTTCCTTGCTCCTTTCCAAAGCTGTTAAAAAAAACTGGCCAGAAACAAGAAGGCCGTTTCCTAAAAGCCTGGCCTTTTAGGGAATCATCTGGAAATCTAGGACTACCATAAAGTAACAGCTTTAGTAACAGAAGCTGACTTTTTTTTTCCCAGAGAAAGAAGTGCTGGTTTACCCAACTGAAAGTGATTATTAACAAACCCAGAGCATGGACTTCTCCTTTAATGTTCCTCAGTAATTATATATCTGGTAATTTACCTTTCATTTAAAATTATAATATCAGGTCGGGTGCGGTGGCTCACGCCTGTAATCACAGCACTTTGGGAGGCCGAGGCGGGTGGATCACGAGGTCAAGAGGTTGAGACTATCCTGGTCAACTTGGTGAAACCCTGTCTTTACTAAAAATAAAAAAAATTAGCTGGGCACAGTGGCGCGTGCCTGTAATCCCAGCTACTCAGAAGGCTGGGGCAGGAGAATTGCCTGAACCTAGGAGGCAGAGGTTGCGGTGAGGCAAGATCGCGCCATTGCACTCCAGTCTGGGTAAAGAGCGGTAACAAGAGCGAAACTCCATCTCAAAAAAAAAAAGAGCGAAACTCTGGCTCCAAAAAAAAAAAATTATAATATCAAAAGTTATGGATCATTTTATTTTTATTTAGTAGACTGAAATCTTACCTCAAATTCTCCGAACTCAAACTTTAAAGAAAATGTAGGTATTATGGCAAATGAGGGTTTTGAGCAAATTCTTCCTGTGAGTGAATTATAGTCACATGAATCCTTTCACTTGTTTTCTGTTTGAAAACAAAGCACTTACTGATCATATTTTAAGAGCTATTATACCAATGTTCATTATAGTTTCACAGCTTAACATTTTGGTAAAATGTTTGTTTATTCATTGCATTTATATTACTCTTTCTGTAATGTAGTATCTCTTTTCATTGGTGCAATATCACTATTTTCAAGTATAATAATAAACTGCATTAACATCCCTTCTGGCAGAGAAAATGTTTTAGAAGCCAGTTTACTTAATTTTGTTATCTAAAAAATGTTAACAGTAGGATAAATTGTATTATATCTTCCTGTGAATTAATTTAATATCTATTTTAAGGATTTTTTATGATTTCTTAACCTAACGTACTATTCTCAGTATTATGTTTTATTAACTCCAGGGAAGATTTAGCAACGTGGGAAAATAATGTAAAATAAAATTAAAGCTATCCCCAAGTCATTTAGAAAAAAATTAGATTTAATGTTGATATAATTGATACTGAATGTTCTGTGTATAAAGTGTTTTATAAAGAAATTGGAAACTTTGTAGAAAATTAAGACTGCTATGGATATTACAGTATTATTTTTCTTTGGGAGGGGGCAGTATCTTAAAATTTCAAGGCATTATCAGTTTCCATACCCAAAGTGTAAGAAAGTTAACTATGTTTTAAAGCTTTAAATATTTTTATAACAGCTTATACTGAATTGTTGATGTAATCAGACTGTTAAAATAATTAAATCAATTTTCTCTCTTAAATTGCATGGTATGATTTTTTTCTTTTGAGTTTAGCTAATATTGATGATATAGCTCAGTATCCAAATACAGGGTGTTCAGTACCTGTTTTTAATGGAACATGCTGTACTACCAGGAGCTGAAAGATAGATAACTTTATCCTCTTATTATATATGAGGTTATTAGGAATGTATCACATTTATCAATAACACCTGGTACTTAATTCATAATTGCTCATGGTATACTGAGATTTCACTGAATAAAGCTGTTTCTGTGGCCGTCCCTTCTCTTTGTTGGCTCTGAATTATTTTCTCTTCTACATTCCATTTCTGCTATCATTTCTTATATTTCTGCCTTACCACCACATCCTAAATATAATGTAGGGACCATCATTACCTCTTCATGTTTGTTCATACTAACAACCCTCGCTATTTCCAAATTTTAATACAGGATTAACGGAGAGATGTGTAGATTTAGCAACTTTTGGACATTAATGAAAGAATCTTTGTTCATTTGCATTAAAATGTTAATGCATACTAAACTCAGAATCTGCAGTGTGATTTTCCTTTCATGACCCAATAGCACTAATATTAAATACTCTTTAGGTGGGAGACTATTTAGAAAGAGAATGGTTACTATCCCACACCCTTAACTATGAAAGTCAAGAATGTTTCTTCATCAGGAGAAGAATCCACTGGGGTTCCTGCTCCTCAGGTCTCCATTCTGATTATAATTATGGAATGTTCAAAAAATGTTTACTTTGTGAATGGGCTTATTGTTAGTGTGCATATTTTTATTTTATTCTCTGGAGGGTGGGGAAGAATGGGGGGAAACACATTAAGTGATAGCTGTTCATTAGCAACCATTGAAGAAGAAATTGAACTTTAAAGAATCTATCAGAAATTCTCTGGTCAGCCTTTTATTACTATCTTGTCTTGAGCCCTGTTTTTAATGACATCTATTATCAGATTGAAATGGCGATTGAGACGCTGCAAAAGTCTGACGGTCTGTCCACTCACAGAAGCTCTCTTCTCAACAGCCATGTAAGTTGCCTCTTCTTCGTGTACACTAATCTCTTGCTTGTTCTGCATGTGTTGCTTGCCTCTAAATGCTTGTTTTATTTATTATTTATTTTGCTTCTTAACCTTCCTTTCTCAGCCCCTAATGATCTCTGTGTCATTTAATGGGTAATGTGTACAGTGAAATATCCAAAAAATAGTCTCCAGTATATTGCTTTATTAGGTTTCTGTACTCTTTGGGTACAGATAAAATATTTTCAAGTTAGTAACAAGTTCTTGTGTATTTATAAAAGGTAATCAATAGTAATTTTCAATATTTATAATGTTTTAGTTTGGTATTTATTATGAAGCAAATACTTGTAATCTGCATCTGTGTTAAACAGTTGTGTCTACTTGCCTGACCAATAATAATCTTTAAGTACAAAAAAGATTGTTAATGTCAAATCCAATGATGAACTTTGAAAATTATTTGTTTGCCAGTAAGACTGTGTAAGGTGGTCAGTAAACAGCCCCATAGTTGAACTCAGGTCCTAAGACCTAAAGAGAAGTGAGAAGTGAACCAAAAGAAAAAGTGACACTGTCGACAAGCCATAAATTGCTAACTGAGATTAAACAGAGTTAATCTCATTATAACTGAGATTAAACAGCATTACCATTACTATTTCCTGAAGCTGTTCCCTGTTGTCAGATGCAGATATCACTATGACACTGGTAAGTGTAAGAAGGGTGATGATAGTTTTGTGAAATTATAAACATTTTTACCAACCGTTCACATTTGGGAAACCAATGAAAATGCTAATTAAAAATTTGTTTTGTTGAGATGATTTCTGAATATATGGAAAAATGTAAATAGACCCATGATTTAAATTCTTTTCAGATAGATCTGCTACCTTAACATTAGTGACATTTTAGTAAGAATTAGACTTTTCTCCCACAACTATTTGTTCTTAAATTTAAGGATAAAGTATTCTGATTTCTTTTTCATATAACTGAAAACTCAAATTAGATCGCCTAAATGAAAGTTTTTTAATAAACCTAAAACTTAAAATGTTTTCATTGTGCTTTTAATAATGTTTTAATTTTTATATCCCAAAATAGTGCTAAATACCTCCTCATGTTCTTACACATTTGTTTTTAGATGGGGTATTTTGTCTTGTTTCTTTTTCAAAGGAAAGTATCATGGAAAACAAAACCAGGTTACCCAACTTGGAGAATGCCTATAATTTTGGTGAAAAATTATACATATAAACTTAAAGATAATAGTATATATTCTGGCCCTTTCTTTTGAAACAATTTAAGAAATATACATTTTTTTTTGTTTCTGAAAATTGGTATTTCGTATGTCACTCTTTTATGTTTCAGACATATATTCCTGCTATGTTGGCAATAGTCTGTGGTTGTGTCAAAAGCTGATTTCCTGTATACTACTAGGATGTGTGTGTGGGAGGGGTGATGATCAACTAGTATTTATGCTTTGGAAATGGAAAGTGAAAGTGTTCTCCCTTTTAGTCAGAAATGTGCATGGACATAGAAAAAAAATGAAGTTTCTAGTTACCCTTTTCACTTTCAGACTTCCACGTTGTGCTTTGATACTCAGAGTTCATTTTTACTTGACATGTATACTTTAATAAAATATATGTCCAATTTTAATTTTAACTTCAGTTATTCATCTTAATATTTTTGTGAACAATAATGGAGGTATAAGAACACGTTTTTTAGATATTTTTAAAATGTATTTGTTGATTTGTTTGAAGCTTTTCAACTATGTCAGAGTTCTTCAAAAATCAGTTTTCTCTGTAGAATTCATCAAGGAAGGCAATTAGCAAATATTTATTGCAAAATACAGTTGCAAGAGAGTAAGGATTTTTGCATGTTTTATTCATCAAGGCATCCCTAGTGGCTAGAACAGGGCCTGGTACCTAGTAGATACTCACTAAACATTTGCCAAATGAATAAAAAGAAAAAATAGAAGGGAACAGGCCTTATGTCACCTTCATTATTTTGGAATCTATGATGCCTTTTCCAATCATGTACATTTATTTGGAGACTGATATATTCATTGTATTGTTTCCTTTGTTTTCAAGTTTGCTTCAAGTAGGTGTATATTTGAACATTGTTGGTAAAGGGTGGTCTTTTTCTGGTATACCGTCTAGTTAAAGAATATATGGTCACTCTTATCATTTCTCTACAGGCAGCCTTCAGTTTAAGAGTAAATAACTGTTTTTCTCTCTGAACAATCTAACCTTTTAAAAAGTCCTGGGCAAGAGTGACATTGTTTTTCTCTTTGTATTTTAGAATGGAACATTAGATTTGGCTTTACAGAATTCTGTTAGTCTAATAATTTTTTGTTTAAGTATTTTTGTTTCTAATTTTTTTGTATATGAAGATGTTGTAGGTTTGTGATGGTTAGTCTGCCTAAATTAAGTTAGACTATCTAATTCTTTTCATTGCAGACTTAAGTTTATTTTATACATTTTCTCAGTGTTAATGAATATAAATTAGTATTTTATGGTTGTAGTGTGTTCACTGTTTACAAACTACTTATTTTAGATTGTAAATTTGAATTCAGAAATGTTGTTAATTGCCCCCAATAATCACATAAAATTTAAGATTGCACATTTCTTTAAAATTCCATTTGAAATTTATGAAAAGCTTTAGCCATCTATTTTATGTACTTCTCACAATATAGCAAATAATCATTTCATGTTCTTTGCTGGTTGTAACTATCAAAATATATTCAGCTCAAAGCAAAACCTTGTTTTTTACTCACTTTTCCTTGACTTTGCTGTATTGTAAATATAAGTTATTACAGAAATAAGGCCTGTTAAAATGCATAGCATTAGTAAACTGAACTTAAAATGAATCCTGATGGATAATAATCCATCTGGGAAAAAATGCCAAATGTTACATTTAGATGTTAATTGGGCAGTGCAATATTTATTTATTTTTATTTGTCAATCAGGGTTTCCCTTTGGGAAAAATAGAAACCATTCATCTTTAATCTATCTTGATTAACACAGATTAAATGCAAAGGTTGAAAGATGCAATTATCTTGGTTTACATCTATAAATGAGTGTATATTAGTTCATTATTAGAAAAATCAAGTTTTAAAGATAAAGGTTAAAAGTTCCTATAGGATTTTATAGGCTTTGAAGTCATAAAAGTTAACAAACATTTTACAAGACATTTTATGAAAGAGCAAAAGAAATAATAATTTATTTCTAAATTATTGGATGTTAAGATTGGGAAATACTAATGTCCAAATATATTGTATTAAAGACAAAACCCAAGGAAACAATATATAACAGGCATTAACTTCCTTTGGGTAGCTCATGGAGCCTCTGCCTTTAGGTTGCACTTAAACTTATATGGAAACTTAACTGCCAAGTTTCTCTTTGAATCAGAGGAATGCTTTCCAATACTATGTTTTAGACTCAAATGTCTGATTTATAATTTCATCACTGTGTCAAAATGTAAAAGTTAAATACTGGCATATAGGATGGAGATTACAATCCCCAGCCACATCTCAAACTCTTATCTGGTGGATCCTTTTAAATTAATTTCTATTAATACAGTGAATTTCTAGGGGATACAGCCTGAGATGGGGCAGTTGTTGACAGTCTTCCTAGCTGGGACCTGCAGGGCTACAGCAAAGCCATCTCCATCCTTTCAGGGCTTTTACCTCCACTTGACTTCCTTCTGCTCTCTCAATGAGCTCTCCAGGCTTCTGGCAAGGAATACTGTTCCTCCTTCTGCGTATAAGGGGTAGGAAACAAAGCATAGCTTTGCTGCTGTCAAAGTAATACTCATCAAAATACCTGTTCTTGTACCATTTTTCAAACTTGTGATTTATGTAAATATACATGTATATGCATATATATAATAAACGGATTTTTAAAAACTAGTTTAGAAATGAAGAATTTAAACAGAATTTCTTCAGTTTAGAAATGTAAACTATATAAGAAGAACAGTTTACAAAACAGTGCAGATTTTTTGACTTGCCTAGCCATTTCAGAGACCCACATAGCCAATCCAGTAAAAACTTCACTTCCTGTAAATTATTCAGTTGGGATATAAGTAATATCATTTAGGCTTCTAAGTAGTTTGTGCCAGCATTTACTATAATTATCTCACTATTTGTATGAAAAGTTTTCTTTATTAGGAGTGGTCCGATTAACCCACACATATATATATGTGTGTGCCATTTGAGTCCAATGGTATATTTACATATATTTTACATATATATGTATAAATACACCATTGGACTCAAAATATTTTATGTTAAACTTTAATATTTATACTAGCTTTTCTTTTATAAAAGGTAATTTATCACAGTATTCTTCAAATATTCTATGAGATTTTCTATTTCAAATTTTATAGTTAAACTTTTAGTCTACAAGATAATTTCTATGATCATGAAAAATAAGCTCTCATTTTGATATATTTATACTCATTTTTAAGTAATTAGATATTGCAAGAAGACTAGTACACAAGTAGGGCAGTTTTAAAAATATTTTATTTGTATCTTGTTAATTAAAATTATTTTCATTTTCATTTATCAGATTAAAATTACATTAGCTCTGTTTTTATTATTTGTATACTCTTGGTTGTAAAGTTCATATTATAAAATTGACTAATTCCATTTCTGGAAAAAAATGCCCTCTAAGATTTTTCTTCAAAGTATGTCTTCTGTTCATTAGCAAAGGAAGTAATATTGATTTCTTGACTCAGAAGAAATCATAATATTATACCTTTGACAATATGCATAATTTTATGAGGATACGTAAATATACTTACAAACATATCTTCGGCATTTTTAACTTACACATATTGTGTGTTCCATGTTTGTGGATTTGGAACCTTCATTAGTGTAGTTGAAAAATACAACTGTTTTTCAAAAAGTATTTACATTTTTTATGTTTTCCTTTCCATAATTTTTTTCCTTGGTGTTTTCTTTATAGTCCTTGATATCGAGAACCTATATGCCTTTCTTTAATATATTAAGACTGCTGATAGAAGGTGGTCAACCCTTGCTCTGTCTAGTATGTGTACACAAAACAAGAACCAGCACTGTTGTACAACACAGCTCACTAGGACTGCCATAACATCACACAAGTGCTTCCCAATCAATCATTTTACCAAAGCATGTGAATGAAATATATGAATCAGGTTTTTATTGCTGCATTTTATATGTAGTCTTTCTCAGCTATACTCAAATCTTAAAATTAAAAAAAAAGAAAACCCACTAAAGAGACATGCTTTCCCACTGTTATAGGCAAAATACTAACTTAAACCTTAGTGACTTAATTTCCCAATCAGGCTGCCTTATCTGTTTTACACTAAATGAATATGTTTAGTAAACCTATTCTGTGTGTCATTTAGAATACTCAGAAATCATGTTTAAGCACCTGTAGAAAACATCTTTACTGACAATCAGGCTAGAGATGATTCATATCAAAAGAATTATTTTGGCCTGTAATACTTTTATGTCATTGTAAAAATGAATGTTTATTTTGTGTCATCTTTTTAAACTTTTATAGGTCAGGCTTATGTAAAGAGGTACTATGTGTGTTTAAATGTTCATATTCATTTGCATATGTACCCTGTGAAGGACTTCAAGTCTGTCTGATCAAACTCTGAATTTTATTTTTAAAAGTACCCTGGTTCATCTTGTAGCTTTGGTAGCTATATTTTCTAAGCCAACAATCAATATGGGTTTAATGACAGAAGTTTAATTACATAAACATCATGTAGGAATATTTGACATTAAAATGGCTTTTGGAAATTCAGTTGTCATGACTAAGGTCAATAATTCTGAAAATATTTTAATGAATTTTAAAATTAAAAGTCTGAAAATTCAGGTTTTAAGTTTGATTGCAGTTCTTAAAATTTGTTAAAAAGAATTGAGAATTTTTAAATTTATTTACATGTCCATTTTATCATTTTTAGTATCTCATTGCAAATTCCTAGAGTAAAGGGATGAGAGCACATTTATTTTTGTATCACTAGATGCTTGGCACATTACCTGGCACATGGTTGGTGCTCAGTAAATGAATTATTTGGCTTCTATAATTTATATTTAACTTGAATGTGTGTTAAATGTCAGCACTTTATTATACCTATCTTATATATGGCATGAAAATTTTGTTGAGACAAGTAATGTGAAGTATTTAGTGCTTTTGTGAAACATTGGTCTGGAATAATCAGGAAATATGAATTGGAAACCAGACTCAGGCATTGAGACAATATGTGACTTTGCGAAAGTTATTTAAGTCTATTTCAGTTCTCCTAATGAATAAATAAATGAACAAAAAATTTAATTTTGCTAATGTTAAAATTCAATAATATAGACCTAGATTCAATTTTCTAAAATTTTCTTGTACATTCAGTGCTTTAAATATCCTTTTTAATGTACATAGAACAACGTAAAGCTTTAAAATGTGAATATAGACTGAAGAAGTGTTGCATTACCAACTACCAAAATTATGAAGAAACACAGTTTTGAGGCAGAAAAATTCAAATGGTTGTAATAAATGTTTCTTTCCTTTTCATTGTGAATAAACTCTTTGCCAATGTCTAGTCAGTTTATTTTCATTTAGAGAAGAAATAACTGAATTTTGTCGTTTTTGCTTTCAGAATCTGTCCTGATAAACAATGTAGTTATTATCTAGTGGTAATTTGAGATAAATAAATTAAAATTCTATAAAAATGAATATAACTTGAATATAAACACTCATACCAGCCAGCCTGCTGTTCATGTGTTATAACAAGCCAACACTAAAGCCATTCAATGGACCATGGTGTCAGGCTTGGTAGCATGTTTTGCTCTGTAGTAGTTAAATTTCCGATACTTACGACCAGTTAATGGAATTATTTGAACTCCCTTAATAGGTGTCTATTTCCAAAATTGCAATCAATACAGGGAAAATTAGTATGTCTCAATGTGTGCTTGAATATTTGAAGAAATGGATATTGTCTGAGATCCTTAGTGATATTCAACTATTGACAATGTTTCTGACTGTTTTCAAAGGCAGATTACCAGCCTCTGAATTGCAGCAGTTTACTCTGTCATAAGACTTGATGAAGAACTTCTAAGAATTTCTGTATGTTACATTTGCAGTGTCTTGTAGAAATTTTGGCAAATTATGTGATTTATCTACGTTTACTGTGTCTTATTTCCCTAGCTCCAGTGGCTGTTGGACAATTATGAGACAGCAGAAGGAGTGAGCCTTCCCAGAAGCACTCTATACAACCACTACCTTCGACACTGTCAGGAACACAAACTGGACCCAGTCAATGCTGCCTCTTTTGGAAAATTAATAAGGTCAATTTTTATGGGGCTACGAACCAGGAGATTGGGCACTAGGTTAGTACTGAAAAATATTATCATAAACTGATCTCTCTTTTTCAAACTAGGGCAATTAAGTATTTTGTTTAAACAAAAGTACTTGATTAAAGGTAATATATAAGGAAATACATAGAATGAGCTCAGTTGATAACATCCCCAGGAAAAGGAAAGGATGTTATGTAGTGACTATTTCCAAGCCAGAATTATATGTTATCTAAAACATTAACTGAGCAAAAATTTGAGAAGAGCTGATTCTCAGACTACATAGAAACTAGCAGACCAACCTGTTAATGCAAGATTTGCATATGGTGCTTTAAACACACACACACACACACACACAACTGTATTTTTGAAAGAAATCATACTAACGATGATGAGTTAAGTGACATAGTAAATGTAAAACTATGTTATCTCTTAACTCTTGCAAAATTTCCTTTGTCTTTATAAACAACGCTGTTCGGATAGAGTAAGAAACTAAAACAGTTTTTTATTTCATTTCTGGAGGTGAATTAAAAATCCTTTGGTAAACTTGCAAAATATTGTTTAAATTCCTCAGTGATATGTTAGTTCTATTTTACCTCTTATTAGCCCCTACTTTTTTTTCTGCTCTTAATGTGAAACCATATGTACGTGGAAGTAAAAAGATTGTATACTTCAATTGAACTGAAATAATATGAAGAAAAAGCTTCTGGTTTTTTTTTCTTCGGAAATAAATATGAGTGTTTTCAGTAACCAAAATACGATGAAAAGAATACTTAGAACTGTGAAGCTTCATTTTTGTCTTTCCATATTTCTATAAATGATCATAAGATAAATAAGTAGCTGGATAGAAGGATATGAATGTTTTTAATTTCCCGAATCTTACAGAAATCATATAAAAAGTTAAAATAGAGACACTATACTATATAACATTAGGTGATATACCCTTAATTAGCTATAAAGCACAACTTCAGAGTATTCTAGTAAAGAGTTTCAATCTTAATAAAACAAACACAGCATTAGTAATTGACTTTATTAAAAATATATATCAAAAAGAGGGAGAAAAGATTGATCTTTTTCTCACCCATCACAAGACTCATGACTAGGACCCCTATAACGAAAGATTAACAAGAGAAAAGCATATAATTTGTTTAATATAAGTTTTACATGACAGGGAGCCTTCAGAAATGAAGACCCAGAGAAACAGAGAGAACTGTATGTATTTTATGCAGTCTGATGAAGTAGATAGTTCTGGAGAAACATGATTGGACAGAAAGGGGTATGATCTAATGGTTCTAATCTGGGGGAAACTCAGCAAGGCCTGTTTTGTTTTCGTTTTTGTTTGTTTGAGACAGAGTCTTGCTCTGTCACCCAACTCCACATCCCGGATTCAAGCAATTCCTCTGCCTCAGCCTCCAAGTAGCCCGGATTATAGAAGCCCCCTCCCCCCCCCCGCCGCTGCACCACACCCAGTGAATTTTTGTATTTTTAGTAGAGATGGGGTTTCACCATGTTGGCCAGACTGGTCTCAAACTCCTGACTTCAGGTGATCCGCCTGCCTTGGCCTCCCAAAGTACTGAGATTCCAGGTGTGAGCCACCACTCCCAGCCCAGTGGGGCCTGTTTGTTTAGATTTTTCTGCATCCCTGTGTCTTCAAAATTAGGAACATTTTTTTTTCTGCAAGGTATAGGAGGACCCCTCTGGAATGAGGGTCTCAGGACCTGTTTCCAGGGGAAAGTGAGCTAGGTTTTTATGGCCTGCTTCAGGGGAGGAGTGAGGAGAATTTTTTTCTAGTTTCTGTGGCCCACTTCTGTTATTTTCCTCAAATGCCAAGGAGCCATATTTTGGGATAGCATGTCCTAAACCCCTTCACTGTGTCAATTCTGAGATTTACAAGGTCTATATGTATTCAAAGCATGAATTACTGCTTTCCTGTTGCATTTTAAGTGATTATACATTTTAGATTGTTGAAGGTTTGGCTCTCTCATAAATATATTTCCTTCTTTCTATACTTCAAAAGATAGTATATTTTAAAGTGAAGAATATGATTGTTATTCACACTAAAGGAATAGCTTTCATTCCCTTGAGAAAAGCTTTTTGTTTCTTTAGTTTTATTTTTTTTTCAGAACCACAGAAATCATTATTTGGGGACCTAACCTACTATCTCCTAGCTGATGGCTCTGTAGTTACACATACCGTGCCAATATTTTGAAACTCTGGGCTTTATTCAACATTCTAATAGCTGTATTGTTGTGCTTCTTTTGTTACTGAAAGGGACTTCAATGGGTCCTATTTTGAGGCTCCATTCAAACCTTGAAACACATCTTTAAAATAGAAAGGGACAAAATTGGGGTTGTTTGGTTTTTTGAATGGGTAGAATCCATACTCTGTAAGTAGGTATTGCAGTACTGCAGCTTTTACTTTCTGGTGTTCTGGGTTCCTCCCACTCCCCACTATGTAACAATTTATGTCTCCTATTTTTTTTTTAATCATGTGTAGTGTTTGCATTTAGGTTTGTGAGGCAAAGCCTAGAAAAATAAGGAGAAAATAAATACTACGGAGAAAGTTTAAACAAATGAAGTGTCGTGAAGATGGAATTGTAATGTAGAGAAACTGACAATGGTAGGAGTGAGGTACTAGACATTCTTTCTACCATAGAAACTTTTAGCATTTACATTCTACTACCAATCCAAGGAACAGAAGGAAAATTAAGATAAATCATGAGGCAAACTATATCAAATACCCTTTTTAAAGAAAAGCAAACTATATGTAGAAGTATTATTAATATTGTCCATTAATAAAATAATCTGGTGAAACCACTCAAACCAGAAACAGATCCTTCCTAAAGTTTTTGGACCTAAGTAAACAAAAAGTAAATCAAATCACTGTTTTAAACAAAGGCAAATAAATAGGTACCTTTTGTTAGATCCCATCTCCAAATTAAGTTTGTGTAGACCACGGAGGAAACTCAGTAAGGCCTGTTTTGTTTTTGTTTCTCTCCCCCAACCATTCCCAGTGAAATAAAAAGAACCTCTCCCTCCCAACCCAACTAAAATGTTAATTTGTAGGGAACCAGAAAGAAACTAGGCACCCCATGTATTTGAGGTATCAAGAGAGACATCATTTTCCTCTGTAGTTTGTCTTGTAAGTAATGCCTCCTGCTTCCTACCCTACCTCTACTCCCTACTCTCCTCCGATTTGTACAGAATAACGCCACAAATTGGGTATGTGGTATTTTTGATTTTGCTTATTGCACTGTTCTGCAGTGGATTTTTGAGATGAGAAATAATCTCTGCAGGTGGAAGGCCTTTCTTTATGGGTATTACGTTTTTCTATCTGCTTTACTGTGCTGAAACCATGTAGGTGTTTGGATGCCCTGTTTTCTTTTTTTTTTTTTTTTAACTAGCAGTATTATTTATATAATATGATTTTAATGTCTTTTCAAATATATATAAGGCTCATTTAATATGTTTTTAAATCTTGGAGGTATAATTCTGCTCTATTTTTATAAAAAAATATTTAATCCACACTCTTCTTGCATTTCTTTTTGTAAATGGAAAACAAAATTGGGAAAAGCACTGATGTATTGCTATATATAGACTTGTGAAAAACTACTGTTTTCTCCTTGCAAGAATTTACATATTTAAAATGATATTTTTGCAAGAATTTGCAAATTCCATTCACAGCAAAACTTTATCATTTCTAACAGCAAACATGGTCTTTCTCATGAACATGGGGAAATTATGACTTTTATTCCAGGTGGGAATTTGCCATTTTCACGGAGAAATTTCACCATGTCTGTGTGACGCATCTTTTTTAACCTGCAAAGCTGATACAAATCCATAAAAACAGAAACTAATAAAATGTGTTTCAAAATCAATAGATTTAAGGCTTACTTTGTTTTTATGTTTCAGAATAGTAAATAAGTCTTTACTACTACATTTTATAACAAACTTAAAGTTATCTTACTTCATCCTCACTGAAATCAAGAGAAAAATGTTGACCTTATCCAGGAAAGTGGAATTAAGATTTTTTTCTTTCTTCTCTATACACACTTTACAATAAATACGTATTCCATTGAATAATTTGGTCTGTTATCCTGTTAACTAATTTTTACTGGCCAAAAACGTTTTCCTATCATTACCCTTCTCAATTAAAGTTAAAATAGAAATTAGAAAATGAAATGTAATTTGTGTGAAACAAATAGACTGACTAATATTTAAGTGAAAGTTTATAAACCAATATTTTTAGTAGGGCCTTCAGCTGATTGATTTAGAATCTTATTTTGATTCTTCCAGTTTTATCACCATGAAAATATAAAAGTATTCGGAACAGGTATATCATAAATATGTAACATTAATATACTGCTTTTACCAAATTTTTCTAAGTGTAAAGTTGAATGGACATTCCATGTGATTAATGTTAGTTTGACTGACTTTTGTTTCTAATATTTATTGTTCACTAATGAAGAGGAAACTCCAAATACCACTACTATGGGATTCGTGTCAAGCCAGATTCCCCTCTTAATCGTCTGCAAGAAGACATGCAGTATATGGCTATGAGACAACAACCCATGCAACAGAAACAAAGGTAGACTTTGGAGTTATCGTTAATATGTCCAAGCTGTGTATTTCTTAGTTGTTTGGGTCTCCTTTTTTCTGAACAAATACCTAAGTACAAAAGGATGTTCTTATTATTGGCATACTTTCATTATGGATAGTTCGTAAATATGATTTAGAATTTCAGTGATCCTGCCTGTTTTCCAAATTTCTAAAAATTACTTATCAGTCAGCCTATTTGGCCCCTTTTAAGTTAAGTGTGACATCCCAAACTGTTCAGACAGGGAAATGAAACACAAAACATAAGGAGCATACCCAAGCAAATACCACATGGAGAAATTTGTTTCAGTATTTATGAGCTTCTGACTTGCTATTCTTCACATCCCTCAGTCATTCTTTTTGACACAGTATGAATTCTTGCAGAATGTTTGGGATGTCTTACATTTGCTTTGAATCCAACTTTCGTAGATATAGAATTGCTGATATTAGAGTTGTAAGAGATCTCAAGCATTCGTGAATGAATGGATGTATGATGGATGATGGGTAGACATATGAACAGATGGATGAATAGAATCATAGATCTTAGAATTGAAAGATATGTCAGCCTAGTCTGGCCTTACAACCTTGTGGTCATCAAAGCATTAATAGCCTCTGTTTTTCAGATAAGTTCCAGAGACATTAAATCATTTGCACAAGCCCATAATAAAGTTGCATAGCCAGGGGCCTTCTACTCCCATGTGACTTACATCACAATTTAGAGTAAATTGAAAAAAAAATCCTTTCCTCTTTGCCAGCATAGCTCAACCATGACAGCAATTATGATTTTCTTTTCAAGTGAGCATGCAGAATCAGATAGAGACAGGAGGTCTCTGCATAGGTCCCAATATATTGATCTGTGGGTGATTAGTTGCCTTGGCTAATCTCCCCATTCATGCTAGTTCAGTCAGGACCATTAACTCTAAGATAATGTCAGAGAAAAGAATATATCACACAGTAATTTTATACTATTTAGTCAGCCAACATTGTTTGAGTCTCTACTGTGTGTTAGGCCCTGCATGCAGAGATAAGACACGGTTCCTATGTGTGAAGAGTTAAGAAATTAGAAGGGGAGCCACATGGGGAATTGAAAAAAAATGGAATGCAGTCTAGGAAGTGCTAAAATAAAACTTTGATCAAGGGACTATCACAATACAGAGGAGTTTTCAACAAACTCTGGGAGAAGGGGAGATTGGGAAGTTTCTAAGAAAGTACTGTTTGAGTAGGAACTTAGAGTAGTCATAAAACAGAAATATATTGCAGTAGATGGAAAATGCACCTAGGGGTGAAGTCCATGATGTCTTTGGTAAATGGTCCATGATTTATTTAGTTAGGTTGGTATTATGGAAGGAGAATCAAGGAGTGGTTGCGTAGTTTAGTGGGAGATGAGATCTTAAAAGTAGTTTGGATCATATATTAAGGGATTTGCTTGTATATAAAGCTAATAAGTTTGTTCTTTGTGCAGAACATAGCTTTGAAGCTATGTAAGGCTTTGAAGCAAAACAATGAAACTTTGATTTTTTCTAGAGAGATGACTTTTTGATTTTGGGCAAGACATATTTAATGGAAAGAGACTGGAGGTAAGGATACTTGTTAAGTGGTTTTATAACAGTCATAATTTCTAGTGTAAGTGTTCCAGACTGAAGACTCAGTTCAGGATTGCTATTATATAAAAGGTATCTTAAAGGTTTCAGATTTTTTTATGAGAGATTCTCAATCTTATTTTTTTAATTGCTGATTCTTATTTTTTGATGTATAGCCAGTGAGAAATAAGAGGGGCTCTGAAAAAAATAATAAAATAAATTACAGAATAGTACCTCATAGAGTTGGAGATAGCGTTTGTGTGAGTTGCGGTAAATTATTACTGTTTTGAGTTATGATTGCTTTTTGTATCTGTTAATGGCAGCACTTATAGCCTTTACTTTCTGCTGTGATTTCTACACTAATGCATAGCAGCACTGCATAGTGGAGATGATGATGATATCAAGAAAAAGAAGGTTTGCTTCAGAAATAACATATACTCAAACTTAAATGTGAACAAAAACTTAATAAATTGTACCTAAGACAGTTGAAGCCTATGATTTGACTGCAAGGAATTTCCTGTGATTTAACTGCAAGGAATTCTAGCAAGCTTTCATAGAATTAGAAGCCTTCAAGGAACTTTCTTTATAAAAAGCCTGAGTTACAGAAGCAAGGCCCAGGACTTTCTGTGGTCTTCTCATGAAACATATTCTGTAAAGATTAGCAAGCCATAAAAACCCCTGCATTCTCAGGACAGTGGTACTTGAGTTTGGAAACAGGTAAAAGATGGAAGTATTTAAGAAATGATGCAGAAATTCAGTAGTATTAATAAATTAGGTTTAATTCTTATTTCTTGTGAAGTAAGAATATGAAAGAAAGAAATACTGAAACTTCCTTTAATTTGTTGTTGTTTTTTTTTTTTTTTAAAAAGATGCATGTTTAGGATTATGGACAGTTCTTGAAATGGTGTCTTGCTGATTGCAGCGTTAGTGTTGCCAATTGCATGGGCCTCTCTTTAGGGCAGCAGGGTCTTCTGTTGTCTCTCTGAAGGGATCTGTCCACTGGCAACACTGATGAGCCTTAACTGAAACCAGTTACCCTATTGTGCAGAATCATTTAGACAGGAGAGAAGGAGTTTCTTTTCATGGGTGTGGACATAGTCTAATTTAAGAGTATTTGTTGAAAACAATGAGAAAATAACTTTAATAATTTAATTTATGGCTTAAAAACTTTTTTGAATGATTTCAAAATTCAAATGATTCTACTTTGTATAGTAAAATTTATATAAAGGGATTGCCAGTCTCTTGTAAAAATACAAATGACCTGAAAGGTTTCAAGTATAAAATAACAGGTATTTAAAAATATTCACATTATTTGAGTACTTCAAGGTTTATTGAATGATCCATGTGTGCTTATCTTTCTTTTTTGTGTGTGTGAGACGGAGTTTAGCTCTTGTTACCCAGGCTGGAGTGCATGGCACGATCTCGGCTCACCGCAACCTCCACCTCCTGGGTTCAAGCAATTCTCCTGCCTCAGCCTCCTAAGTAGCTGGGATTACAGGCACGCGCCACCATGCCCAGCTAATTTTTGTATTTTTAGTAGAGATGGGGTTTCACCATGTTAACCAGGATGGTCTCAATCTCTTGACCTCGTGATCCACCCACCTTGGCCTCCCAAAGTGCTGGGATTACAGGCTTGAGCCACCGCACCCAGCCCGCTTACCTTTCATAATGTAAATTTATTTTTTATATGTTCTTATAGTGAAGAAATGCAAGTGTATAAAGTGATTATTTTGTTCATTAAATTTAAGTTTTAGAGCTCAATTTTTACATTATTCTCATGAATTTGGAATTATACTCAAGTGATAATAATGATTATTGTTTTTATATAGCTCACAATTTCTTGAGCTTTTTTTATACAAGGTGTCACTTGAAGGTTTGATAAGGTGGTAGAGGAAATCTCCATTTATCTGTGAATCCGATTCCCAGCAATACCACTGTATGGAACATAGTCATGAGTCTGAACGTAAATGTAAACAACTTCTGATTGGAAAGCAGATGTCACAGAGCCTACAGTTTCACTTAGTTAAAAGATGAAGCCATTCTCAAACCATTTTACCTAAAATAAAGGAGATTAGAGCCCCCTTGATTCACAGGCAATCATGAACAATGACAGCTGGCAAGAAGAAATAAAAGTAGACAGCGTCTTCTATTTACTTTAAAGTTACTCAATACAACAGTTTTTGGACAGTCAAGGGAGGGGCACATGGACCTAGGCACTCCAGTAAATACTTCAAATATCACTCTAGTGACTAAAATATAGTCTAACAATGTAATAACTGCTTTGCATATTTATGGCATTATAGGCAATCAAGGAGAGGTAAAATACCATGGTTAAGAAGACAGAAAACCTTCTATTGAAAATACTTCATATGAAAATAATGTTTTTAACACTGATATGAGGTAGTCTTCAGTTTTTGACAAAATTCACTCGTGAACTAATTTGCCTACCCTAATTTGGATAATAAGTAAAATTATTATAGAGCAAAAAGGAGATCAGTAATTTCCATCTCTCCAAACTAAGTAAAAATGTTTGCTGCAGTTTAGTTTCAATACGTAAAAGAAGTATATAGAGAGTGTTGGCACGTAGATTTTAGATATTTTTCCAGATTCCAGTAGTAAAAGCCAAATGCTTTTGATAGTGTGCTTGGCTGGTTTAATCCCAGTAGCCATTCCCAAAATATTAAATACTATTTACCATTTCTTCAACAAATACTTATCAATTGTTATTTGCATGAAGAATCTGTCAATTACATCTAAAAGATATCACACAGAATCGTAGAATGTTAGAAATGGAAGAAAGATTATCTAGTCCACCTCATCTTCTTGATGAGAAACCTGAAGTCCCTAAAGGTTAAATAACTTATTCACAGTCATATAGCAACCAGGATAAGAACTCTTGTCTTTATTTTCATGAGAATACCACCCTCAAAGAGGTAAGATAACCCAAGCAGAAACACACACACACCAAAATATTTGCATATGAAATAAAGGGAGAAATCACATTTTAATGATTGTGTTTCAAGTAACTGAGGAAATGTGCCCCCTCCTGCCTCTTTGCATGGTCTCTTCACAGCAATTGTATTCTGTGAAAGAATGAACCTTTCTTTCACAGAATGTGAAATAAGAATATCACTAAGAAGTGGTCATTTGGAAAGGTGATACAGCAAGGCTACTTTTGCTTTGGCTATAGATAAATGTAAAAGTATGCACGTTCTTTTAGAAGTAAGAAAGGAATTTTAAGAACCTTTATCATTAGATGGCCTTTCTTGATATAGAGTTCATAGACTAGTTAAATGAACCCTAAATTTAGAATTGGAAACTGGGGCTTTGAGTACAGGCTACATGGGCACTTATACAGAGTGTATGACTTAACCTCACTGAGTCTCAGTTTTCTTCATCTACAAAATAGAAA